TGGGCCTTGTAAAGAGGAGGCATGAATGTCAAGATACTATCACAATTCATTAGGGTTTGAAGCCCTAGGAAATGGACCATGTGGGGAGCAACAATTCATGTTTTTTGGGGACTTTTGTTTGGATTCAATTCTATACTTTGCCAAGAAAAGCAATAGGGTCCCCCTCAGAAGAGAAGGCCTATATTAATCATAATATGCTAGAGTTTCATATGGGGGTGGGGGGCGGATAAGGGGTTTTTTCCCGGGTTGAGGGGTGTAGGGTGGGGGTCCTTTATCCCCTGATTTAAGAAGGTAAGAGAGCGCTAATTAATTTTCCATTTTTCTTATATTAAATTTGGATTTGGATCCTCTTCACTATAAAAAAATATAGTTGAGAGACCACTACTTCTAATATCAATCGTTGATTACTTAGTAGACAGTTATGGTACAATCTAAATCTAACACTTACCATACCACCGTCACTCGTAAATTAATTAATATAAGTTTGATAAGCACTTATATATGTCCTTCATTTTCTCCTAGTTGAAAAACATCCCATTTGTTGCTTGTAGCCTCAAAGACACACAACAAAATAACTAAATTGAGTAACTTTAGAGAGCAAATGTGTCTGACATTAAACTTTCTCCCTCATATAATAAATATATTCTTGAAAAAAGTTTCATCATCTATCATCATTCACACTTTTTTTTTGTAGGTAACGTGCAGCCCAATAATTTGAGCGAGGAGACCAGGATATGAACTGTAATATTTTCAATGCAACAGTATAGTTTCCCTTCTTGGTCAAAAGATGTTCTATGCATGGGTCCAAGCCTTCTACCCTTTTCATTCTTTCATTTTTTGGAGGAGCTACAGAACTTTCATTCTTTATTCGCTTGTCATGCATGCAAGGTTAGGGCAACTGAGGTCTAATGCAATATTAATTGTGAGGTGTTAACCCCTGGGTGCATGATCTACTGTTCATAAACAGTAGATCATGCACCCAGGGGTTGACACCTCACCTGTCCCCCCTTGGGTCCTATGGTTTAGGGTCGTCCTATGGTTTAGGGTCCCTGTGTACCGCAATAATAACAACAATTCGATATTTTTGAGATTGGCTACACGAATCTTATTCTCTCACCCGTTTATGTTAAAATCTACATTAATTATTAGTTGAGTTAACATAGTCACATGAAAATATTATGAAAAGATGGTACATAATAATTTTTTAGTTTATTAGCATATTACACTTCTTAATTTCACATGCATCAATTCGCTTAATTAACTCAAACCCCAAAAGATACTCGCAAGGATCATGTTCACTTAATCCTATGCAGTACATGTTTTAGGACACATATTATTAATTAAGTGCACCCTGGTTTATTCTCAAATGATATTTTGAGAAATTAATGCAATCAATCAATTCAATAGTACAATAAATGAAGCACTTTGAAAAATGCTGACTATAGCAAGAACACTCGTATGGTTACGATAAAGACCAAAATTTAGCCATCACCAAAACAGAACAAGAATATATATAAATCAATGAACAAATTACAACATTGGGGTGGGGGGGTGTAAGTTGCAAATTTGGCATATATATAGCTCAAGAGGGATAGACAAGAAGGGAAGGCAAGAGGTGGTGGAGAAGGGAGGCATGCAGGGTTCCCGCTCTCCGTCGATAAGAGAGCAAGGGACAACGATGACAACCGAGGACCGGGGTCTTACAAGGTCAAGAAAAGGTCTTACAAGGTCAAGAAGATGCCATGAGAGAGATTATCAGGAGGACGAGACGACGGAGGAGATCGAAAGAAATAGCTCATTCAGGATAGCACCATGTCGCCAACTAGTCGCGCCTCGACGGAGGTACTAATCTTCCTTCTACGCGATACGGGACGGAATCGCCATCGGTCTCGGCCATGACGGTCGATCCAAACAAGAATATTGCCATGGAGGTAGGCATTGGTTGTGGGAGATCAAGGAGAAGGACGAGGGAGAGTTGAAGGAGATCGTATAGTCTTGACTCTTGAGTAGGTGGTGCTTTGTGGGCTTTTATTTAAAACCCCCTCACAACCACAAGTCTAGGGGTTAAAATGGAAAGGAGACGAAGGATAATATATAATAAAGTTATTTAATTAATATATATATAGTTGAAGGTAGAGTTATGTATAGTTAGTATATATATATATATACGTGGACATTAATTTGCATGAACGTACCCTAACCATATATATTATTAGGAACTGGAGAAGAAAAAGCACAAGAGAAAGCATGCAACAATTAACAAGTCACTAATAACTAAGAATTTATACGTGGTTAATGCTTATAATTTTTCTTTATGCGCAAATTAGAAAACGAGGATACAGTGATTAGTATGTTAAGACAAATAAAAAATAATGCAGTAGTCACTTCACTATTTTTTGTATTCATGGCTTCGTGAACGATGAATTTTTAAGAAAGATGTAGAGAATTAACAAATGATACTTTATGCATATCGCGCACAAAAGTATAATTAGAACAAAAAATAAACAACAAAAAATTGTGACCGAAGAAACACCTGCATGTATATAACGTGCGAATGTATGAAAATTGCGAGCGAAAATGCACGCTGAAACTATGAAGGATCGAAGAATATTAACCCAGATGCGGGTGCACGTGGGCTTGCACGAAAGAGCTTGATGGGCACGTGACATGGACACGTGTGACAGTAGGATCTCCATGGTTTTTCGTGTACGAGGGTAACAATTTTGAAAAAAAAAAAATCTTTCAGGATCCAAAATATGAGACCAATGAAGGGGACATGTGAGGTGTCCCCTCCCTATTGCATAATAAGCTGCCAGCTCATTATGCAATAGGAGAGAGACATCTCACATGTCCTCTTCCAATAGTCTCATATTTTGGGTCCCTTTAGCAATGTTTATTTTAAAATTCCTAAAACATCTTTTGGCTTTGGAAAACCGCAAAAATTCACTCATAAAAAAATAATGGAAATATTATCATAGCTGAATTTTTTTCCCCTTCTTTATTTAGGAAATCATCTGTTTTCTTGAGAAGTATGGGAATCTAACATGCACCAGACACGAGGGGTTATAAATGTCATACACGCAATAAAAATAAGGGGAAATTTGCAAAATAGTATGTTTTTGCTAATTATTTAGCAAAATAGACTTCTTTTTGGCCAACAGACCAAAAAGATGTCTATTTTGCAAAACAGCTCAGAAAACATACGGGACTAGTAGTCTCGTATGTTTAAATCACGGATTAGTGAACTCAGAAAATTTCACAAAACATTGTGATGAACTCAGGAAACATACGGGACTACTAGTAGTCCCGTATGTTTTCTGAGTCACTAATCCGTGATTAAGTTGGCTTTAAACATACGGGACTAGTAGTCACGTAGTCACGTATGTTTTCTGGCCCTTGTTTTTCAAAATCGACCTCTTTTTTTTTAAAAGATGTCTATTTTGCTAATTATTTAGCAAAACGGTCTATTTTGCTAAATAATTAGCAAAAACGGACTATTTTGCAAATTTTTCCTAAAAATAAGGCATATTCTAATCTTATATAAAATATTAAACAAGGTTTAATTAGAGTGGGACTAAGATAAAACTAAACTTTTTTTGTTATGAAATTTTGGGAAGTGAAGCGCGTCTGGGCACGCGTGCGAGAGAGAGCTCGGTCTTCCAAGGGAGTCGTGGGTGATCGAGGCTTGTGGACCACGGCGGTTGCTAAATTTACATAAAGAACCAATGCATAGTCAGGGGTTATGTATTCTAAGGGTTGGGAGTTGTGAGGTAGGTAAAATAAACCATCACCTCATGTACATTTCCACCCATATATCTACTCCTCTGTGCTCACAGGAGGATCCATAGATTCACTATTCATACTACAGTAAATTACTGTATCGATATAAGTTACTGTATCAATATAACCGTGCTCAAGAACAGGTGACTGTAGTGTTACTCCTGTAGCACAGACGAGATACTGCAGCATTTAAAAAATACTTTAGCGTTCACAAAAACTACTGTGATATCATTACAGTAGCGCAGGCGAGATACTGTACCAGTTAAAAAAATTGCCGTAGCATCACAAAAATTTACTGTTACGTTTAAAAAATACTCACTGTAGCAGAAATTAAAAAAAAAAAAAAGAGGTCGTGCCTTGCACGGGGTGCAAACTAGTTTATAGTTCTATGAGAAATGCCAAACACAAAGTAGACAACACACATCTAACGTAGAAGAATACGAAGGCACAAAACTCTGATGTAGACCCATAAATAAACAGTATCCCTTGGAAAAAAATTCTTCTCACGGTACGTCCATTTCTATTCTCACAAGAGAAATGTCCATTTCTATTCTCATAAGAGAAATGTCCATTAATTTCTATTCTCACAAGAGAAATGGCCAGTAGAAGCTCACCTAGCCTAACATATATACATCAAAACTGATACTTTTCAACAACATCAAGAGAGGAAACATAGGAGGACATATGGAACTTGCTCACCTGTAGAGCTGCTGTAATCTTTTACAGGCTTCAACGACATTCTCCCGGTGACCAAAGGCGCTAACTCTAACGAACCCTTCACCACCAGGTCCGAACCCGCTGCCTGGTGTTGTGACGAGGTGAGTCTTTTCGAGAATCTCGGCAAACACATCCCAAGAGCTCTTACCCGGAAAACGAACCCACACATAAGGAGCATTTAGCCCACCATACGCATTGAACCCGAGAGAAGCGAACGTGTCGACAATTATCTGAGTGTTCTCTTTGTAGAAATTGACAACGTCGGTCATGGCCTGCACAAAATAAAGATTGAGCAGTGATCAAGATGTGTGCTTTGCTTGCACGTAAGTTGCAGGATATCTTAAAGTTAGCCTAACCTTGAGACCCTCTGAAGAAAGACAAGCTAGACCCCCAGCTTGAGAAATATTAGATGCACCATTAGAGCCGGTGCAAACTATGAGATTGAAGTCCTTGGCAACAGGAGATCCATCAGAGAACAGCAGTTCCTTAGGAATCACTGTCCAACCTAGTCGAACACCAGTAAAGCCAGCATATTTCAAAAAAGATGCTGTCTCAACTGCAACCTGAAGAAGAACCAGTGTTGTTAATGCACGAGACGCGATGTGAGGTACAAAGTATCTTTACACGCACATGCGCAAAGCGCAAAGCGCAACGCGATGCACGCGCCTGAGTGATGCAAGGTGCACACCGCACACATAATTTTTCAAGATAGATAACCAAGCATGAAAGAACATTTTTAGGAATTCACATAAAAAATGAGTCAGGATATATAGTATCTTACTACCAAATCACAATATAAGGTAATTTTTAATGCTAACACATCCAAAGTTCATAAATTTTCAAATCAAATGTCAAATCAAGACTAATATACAAGCAAAATCAAATAGCAAAGGAGGATTAGTTAGGGTCCTCAAATTGAAGGCTATTAAAAAGGTGTAATAGATTTATTTTGCTTTTTGGGATATGGGTTATCAAGTATAAATACTTGATTGAAATGTTAACGAACAAAAATACACAAGCCCATGTACTACATGCACCCTGTGCAAAGTCATGATGCTTGCGAGGCGCAAAAGCGCTGCCGCGTTAGATGCACGGCGCTTCGACACCGCCCGCATCACAAGGCGCATGGGGCGCAGTGAGGCAAGAAACTTTGAAAGCATTGAGAAGAACAATGCTCGATAGGGTTACATATGTTTCTAAAATAGTACAAAAGCTTTGGAACAGATTGATTAACAAAAGCTTGATATTCTTCGATAATTAGACAGTATATCAGGGGTTGACATCTTCAAAAAATTTCATGTGTTTTATGATATCAACAACGATATGCCTTTATATTGAAAATACAAGTATTTTTCCTATATTGGTGGAGATATAATTGGATGTTATCTCAGACTAAGAAAAGACAAACATCTAGAGGGAGTCCACTTCGGCAAGTGGATAATGTTAGATCATTGACACTATTTTTTCCACTAACAACTTTAATGACTTTCTTTTTTTTAATATTCACGCTGGGCTACAGGTCAACAGTGGTCAAGAGTTGCTCAATCAATACATGGACTGAGCAGATGTAAGTCAACGTAACACTATCTGGCTGAATTAAAAGCAGCTTTGAGGAGCAGATGCCAGTCCACTTAACATTATCTGGCTGAATTAGAAAGCAGTTCTGCAGAGCAGATGTAGGTCAACTTAACACTACTTGGCTGAATTAAAAGCAGCTCGACGGAGGGATTAGATGACAGAAATAACTGCAATATTGTTTACAGACATTCTAGTTTGTGAAGGAAACTCAACATTTAATGCTATATCCAAAAAATCCTAGCAAGTCTAGCTGGTCAGAATATGCAAAGGTGCAGGTGGTCCCTTTTCCGTGGCAAGGTGCAGGTGGCCAAGTTGTTCAGGATATTGCAAAGCATACCCGCAAGTCTATGTTACCCCTGTCCTCAATATTCATCAAATGATCATTGCTTTGCTCGTGCTACTTACAGGGGCATTGGGCGGCAATAGGGGGACCAGTTGCTCCGAGAGTTTTACTTGGCTAATTCGACCAGGCTTGGTATTTGGGGTGGGATTTGGGCCCCCTATAGTTGGTATTGGAATGGAGTTGGAGCCCCTCATACTTGAGAACGAATATGTGGTGGTGGGCTCCCCTTACTTGCGTGTGCCTCCTGTGGTGGGAGGGCTTAGAGTCTTAGACTTGGTATCTCGTTCCCCTGTGGTCGGGAGTGGCTGGACAAGACCTCATTTTTGATACATGACTGATCTAGCGAATTTTCCTTGGCTCCCAAAAAACAATGCAGAGGATTGACTTTGGACACACACAGCAGTTCAAGTATTACCCCTTTAAATGTTAAAGATATAACCTTTATAGTAAGTATACAGCGTAATGGACGATTGAACTGAAGGGTGTAAAAGGTTATGTTAAAAAAAAATAAGGGCTTGACTATGAAGAAAAGAACAAGTTATCATAAGGTTTGGATGAGAAATTGTATAAGAAGGGAAGTAATAGATTTCAAGTAATGTATGATTTTATATCAAATATATTTGGATGATTTCTAAGTTAAAAATGGCTAATAAGGAAATTATCAAGGACAAATGGTTAATACTATCATATTGGAGCAATATTGACACAGTTCCAACAGAAATAGTTTTTTTTTTAATTTGAAACTTACTACATCTTTAAACTCCTTCCAGTCGAGATTATAGTACTTAACTATGGCCCAAACAGGAGTAGTTTCAAAGATTTGGAAGCAAAATAAGTTCAGTGCAGCTTTATACTGTAAATGGCACAAGTATAATCAACTATTTTTTTTCAGCTTAGAACTCTGTTTGGTTGACACATAACAAATGAACAATGCATAAATTCTGATAATTATAAGATTCACTGAAATGTTAAGAATTAGTAATTAATTAGATACGATGACAAAAGAAACTATTACCATGTAAGAATTTATATTAAATAAAACACTTTAAACCACACCACTAGTTTAGTGACAGTCTTCTATTTCTCTAGTTACTCATTTCGAGTGAAAAATGGGAACGAGTGCACTACACAGGAAATATGGTAAGTTATTAGATTTTCAAATAAATCATAATCGTCCACCTACGTTGCATGGAAACGGGTATGGGTATGGGTACTGGTACAGGACAAAAAATTTTGTAGAAGGTAAGATATATTACATGGCTATCTATATATACATACTACATGTGTGTGTGTACGCATTAAAATTAATAATTTACATAAGATCAATATTCATCACAAGTTATAAGAGTTAAAATTCACAGAACATTTTATGTTTCTATTAATGTAGATTATAAATTGGAAAACAGCTCGTTTCTGAGTTAGATATCCAAATGACCCTTTGAAATTATAGTTCTTAATGGGGGTATGAGCTGAAACAAACTTGACCCATGTCCAACGATTTTCAAGAACTAGATATGAAGTGGTAGGATGTACGTTCAAGAAGTGTTTGACTGGTGTTTTAAATTAAAACATCTATCGTACAATTGAATACGCGCCTGAATAAACGTATGCATAAATTCGAGAAGTGTCCAAGAAGTTTGGATGTGCATGAGGGTGCACGTACGGGTGCGTGTCAGGTACGGCTTCAGATAGAAGTAACCAGGTAACATAGTCGCCCACTAAATAACAGATGGTTCTAATTAAAAGTGATGTTCTCTCTAGTGCTTTTTGGCAGTGTATAGGAGCCAAATCCCTAAATGAACATGCAATACTTAGAAAGAAAGAACAGGAAATATTTTTTCAGCTCACCTCTTTTGCTCCGGGAATTTCAAAGATAGATCGTGGACTGTCATCTGATATGTACATAGCATATGCTGAGTCATAAACTATGATAGATCCATTGTCCTTAGCAAACTGAACCAATCGTGTCAACTGCTCTCTAGAAGCTGCTGCGCCAGTTGGATTGTTTGGTGAACAAAAGAAGATTACATCTGTTCTTTTAACAGTGGATAAATCAGGAAAGAAACCATTCTCGGGTGTGCATCTCATGTACTCTATGTTCCCATATTTTTCTATATCCTTCTTGAATATGCCAGTTTGCCCCATAATAACACTTGAATCTACATATGCCTGCAAATAAAATAAGCTTACAGTTTATCAGAAAAACACATCTTAAATCAGGATATCATTAGAACAACAATCCTATCAAGAATCTCCATGTAGCAACAATGATAATGCTAATAATATAGAAAACATAATTTAGAGCATAAAACCGTTCTCTACGACAAAGTTGATCTATAGAATGGAAATATTTTTCCTTTTGCAGGGCTAAAATAAAAACTAAGATACCAACCAAAGTAAAATGGATAAAATGGTATCGATATAGTTAGGTCACGTAGTTGTCAGACAACTTCTAAAAGTTAACGTAAACTAAGAGAAATCAACTCACAGGATATGATGGATCTTGCACTGCTGTTGTCACATTGGCACCAAAAAGAAGCTGCACAAAATAGAGAACAGCTGAGTCAAGTTAAGTAAAGGAGTCATTCAAAGTCCAAATTATCTTAATTTAAAAATTTTCTGCATTTCCACACATGAAAAAACTAGTAAGTATAAATATTGATAAGCAATTTTTGTCCGGTCATCTTAACCATAGTTGTTAGCTAGCAAAATTCTCCATTCTAGTTTTTATACATTAAGAAGTGAAATAACAAACTTGAAGACAGGACAACCTGAAGACGTGAAATATCACATTTTGCTCCGTCTGAGACAAATATATCAGTTTCTTCAATACCAAGTCCATCATAATATGTCGATGCAATTGCAGCTCTAAGTCTCTGAACCACAAATCAAAGAACAAGGAATCCTGAGATCAAAAACTAGTGCAGAGACAATAAAGATAAGTCTCTCTCAAAAAAAATAAAATAAAAATAAAAATAATATACAGTTTATGAAACTTTAAGCATATAATCATATGAAGCATGGTCAACAATCAATATATGAGGTTCAAAGGGAAAACAAGGCATGTTAACATATACTCCTGGAAATATCTGACTAAGCTAAGGTGACCACATCCAACTAGTAAAACAGATTTTCGTATATGAAAAAAAATAAGGAGAATACACAACATACAGATAAAATGATTACTCCTGGAGAATCATGCACCTACTTAAAACTAAACAATCAGTGATAGCTACGTCACATTCCTAATCCAGTGATAATATTGTAAAAAGCAAATATCTGAATGAGTTAAAACTGTAATCAGTCATTGACAGTTTGAGACGTTGACAAATCAGAATGTAACGAAACAAGTGAACAAGGCAGTTTATTTGGTAGCATTCGAACTGTTTAAACTGAATGATTTAAGCGACCTCACAGGTCTAACAACTAAGAAAAATATATAAAGGTCTTCATTCATTCCAGCTACACATACGCTAATTTGAACTTTCCAATGACATGCTCTATTGTCTAAGAATGATCTGCAACAGGTCCAAAATACTAAGTTACATTTTTTTTATTTTGTCTTCTAAGCCCTGGTTCAACAAGGTAAGAAAAACCAGAAACTTCTTTGCCAGTTTAATGGCAGGTGCATCAAGCAAAAATGACAAGTTATAAGATAATAATCTGTGGACAGGCTGAACAAAGACTAAATTAGAATAAAACACTTCAAATTTTCAATCATTTCTGAATACTACTATGAACTTTGCTTTATCATTCATAACTTCTGTAAGACCGTAACTGTTGAACACTGACACACGGAGGAATGATAAAGCAAGTAAATAATGTCTTGTTGCAGTTTAACCTAGATATAGAATTGTTTAGGTCCATATTCCAAGGAAGCTCACACATCCGATTTGTAGTAGATCATATTATTCTGTGCATGAGTGGAAGCTTTTCCTGTTCTTGTGGGAGATCCTGACTAACTATGTCCATTTGCATCTTATATGTCGCATCACAAAATTCACAATCCAAATCAATTGCATTGACCCCATCCTCACCCCCACCCCCCAAAAAAAACCAAAAAAAGGCTCCTCTCAAAAAATCAGCAACTAATAATCTTCAGTTGGTAGATCAACTAAGCTTTTGGTTTTAAAGCGGTTTCAAATTTTAGACTCAAGCACAAGGCTAAAGCATATTCTCCTATACGACCAGCAAACAAGGCACATACAAGTAAGATCTACGGAGTTTTGAACTTCATGCATTTCCTTGACCACCAGGATGATAACAAGCCTCAGTCATTTAGCAGGTGTGTCCAGACATAACTTTCAGAGCACCATTGGGACCGGCAAATGTTGCTTTGCAAGAACAACAGTATTCACAGGAGCTACTAAATAAAATCAATACTATTAACCACAATTTGAAGAAAAACCGAGAAATGAAAACTTCTACAAACTATTGTATAACAGCATGTTCCTATTGTTATGGTTGAAATGGAAAAAAATTGTCATTAGGGTTAAAAATGCACAATGAGCCCCTGAAACCATATATTTTTCGAAGAATGTGGCTAAAAATTTGTCTAATCAAACATCAGGAGAGTTTTCCTTACTTCTTACTTATGGGGAAAAAATGCAAGAATACCTGCACATCGGTGACCTGCTCTCAAGGATACAAGATACTCAAGGGGAAAAAAAGAATGTAAAACTTGTTGCTGAATAAAAAGACTTGCAAGGTATGAAGTTATTCATGTAGTAGTGATTGTGAGGTAAGAAGTATTTTCTAATGATCATGAGAAATGCAGTCAAGAGTAAACAGTTCTCTTTTTTGCAGTTTACCTAGATAAACAAACTGCAAGTCATTGATGCAAGTGTATATAGGCAAAGGTCCGAATTTTTCATAGATTTGTAGCCCTTTGTTTCAAATTAGTAATACTATTTCGTTCATAGATTTATTATCCCTTTTTACAAATTTTCATATGTCCATCAACAAAAAAGGGGATATTTCAGTGTAATGGATAATGAGTGCCAAACTAGTACAGGATGCAAGTAGTCAAACAAGAGTAAATCCTACTACAGACTAATGAAACCATAAAGCTCAATCCCCACAAACTTCAATATAGAGTCCAAAAGAGTTTTTATAAGTTTCACAACAATGTAAAAAAGAATAGTTGCATTTGAGCTGATAGACAATGACAAAATTCACAGAATTTTTTTCTGGAGCATGCGCACTACAGATGCTGTTGATAGTTCATGATAAAAGTTTGTGAAACTTTTATCGGAGCTTCTACAGCAAGACACAGGTGATGACGATCATGATGAAATTGTAGACCAGTCAAGCAAAATACAATTGAGTTCCCGCTAACATTTCAGGTAAGTTTTGAAAAGTACCCTGAGAAATCCAAAACAAGAACATACCTTTTCACCTTGCTCAGCTCCATAACCACTGTAACCCTCAAATGTTGATAATCCTTGTGCTCTCTGCAAAACAGACCAAAAACAATTTTCTGAGGCCGCCAGAATACATAACTCGATGATAGAAAACTAGAGGGAGCACAAGCAAAGATCCTTGCACAACTATATTAAGACCAAAGAGATTACCACCATTTTTCCTGTATAGAACAATTAAGCCACATAGCCATAATATTTACCAAAATTGTAAGGGTGATAAGCCTTTAATAGACAAAAGAGGCTGCACATTCCCGCACAATTCATGGAAACGAAAAACAAAATACCTGGCTGACGTAAAAGCTAAAAATCCTACACAAATAATGCAAGCCTAGCAATGAGACAATTTTCTCAGAACAATCCAGTTGTCTGCCAAGCTTCAAAAAGACCTAAGACATGGATCTTGAATTATTTCATTAATCTATTTATTGCAGTATTTCTATCATCAATAAACTCATATTTATGAAAGATAAAAAATACATAAGAATGTAATGATAAACGGACCAGAACTGGAAGATGGTGACATTAAAGGGGTTAATGAATAACGGTGCAACAATAGCTATTGTTCACAGTTATACAGAAACTTTTAACTTTAAGAACTAAAGCCATCTAAGTCAGAAACTACAAGATAACAAATATTACATCAATGAACTAAATAAAAATATATTGTCAAATAAATGGAGTTCATATTCTTTCTTTAGAATGACCCAGCAAAATGAAGTTAAACATCAACCTAATACTGAATAGCAGCAGGAAACTAGACATAATTACTGTTAAAGTGATTACCTTAGCCATTGCGGAAGCAATAACTGGAGGAATGGGTTCAGTAGTGTCACCAATACCAAGGCTGATCACTTGTGCATCAGGATATTTCAACATGTGCGCTGATCTTCTTCTTGCAATCTAGACTCCAATAAAACCATAGGATGTAAGAAAAATGGTTTTTGGCATATATTCTTACAATATGAAACCTATCACTTAGACTCCAAGAATAGATCTTAAACACAAAAAGAATCGTCAAGAACAAAAATGTTTAACAAGCCATAGATTAAAAAACATAAAACAGCATGTCAATAAAGAACAGGTGAACTTGTTACATTTTGCAGACTGAATTAACTATAACTACATGACTATTGAAATAAAAAAGAATATCCAAAAAATTACATACTCCGTAATAGGAGAAAGTTATCAATAAGTACTCAGATGGCGACTCGACTATCACAATAAAATTTAATGTACAATGCAAGTGAAAACCACATTTGCCGCTTCTTGCTAATCATACTTCTAAGATCTTTCAAAATTTTCACTCGAATTGGAGAACACCAAGGCGTTGATTTCAGATATTAGTTAAAGGTTAAGAAATTACATAGGAAGTGCATGTTATTTTATATATTTAAAAAAAATCTTTTTGAGTAAAAAAAACCATATTTCAACCAAACATGTATTTATAACCATGAAAAGAAATTTAGGGATTAGTTCCTAACCAAAAGATGACAAAATGATGGCAAACAGTTTTGTGGATACTTTCGCCTAATTTAGTCATATCCTCTACATTTTCTACATAAGACAAGTACACTTTCTATCAAATACAGAGGTTAGACCATACTATATATAAGCCTTAAAAGTTATTTCTCCTAGTAGGTCATATTCTATAGCAGCTACCCTTCTACTATCATGTTACTTTATCAGTAGGACTAGGAGTTACTTTGTATTATCTTTTTCATAGTTGCACATCAGAAAATGACTATCTCACAATAACTTCTTCCCATTTGATGTTATTATGAATTTCTCAATTTAAAAACGTTCTACTAAGTTTGGAAGCATAGAATTTAGATGAAAATGGCTTGAAATTTTGGGGTTACTTAGATATTATTCATTATTTATCTTATCATAGCATCCAATAACTGAGTTGAGCTGGGAGTCTCCAGGTAGGTGAAACCTTTTGTACTTAACCAATCTGAATTATAAATTTGAATCAAATCTAAAGATCGAATAATAATCACCTAGATATGAAATTTGCATAAACCCACTGGCTTGGGAATATACCCTATTGGACTGTAAGAAGTAAGGATGCTTCGATCTAGTGTTATTCAAGTTCATTATCAATACTGCATGATGATAAGCCATAAGATTTTATGTATTATATTTCCTTGATATGTTATGAGAGAGTCTTCACTTTCTATGTTATAAGTTTACAACGCTGACAGAGAGGCGCTTACAATTACCACAATCTCCCATCCCGGATATACATTGGCATAGTTCTCGCGGATGATTCACCTCGATCTTTACTATATATGAAAGAATCAAAAGATTATCTTCTTTAACTATGGGCACAATCCACTTGGGTTATAATCCACAAATGGATCATAGTCCACAAATGGATCACAATCTCACATGTATCACAAATGGATCACAATCTCACATGGATCGCAAATGGATTATAATCCACAAATGGATCACAAAAAGAATAACTTCTTTGACTACGAGCACAATCAATCTTTACATGCTTGGGAACTTTGGATCAACTTGGTCATATGGTTAAAGGATTATAACCCAAGTGGAATGTAATCCAGAATGTCTGATAGATTTGGTGGATTGTAATATGTTTCCTATAATAGAGTGTTTCGCAAATGGATTGATTATAATCTATTATGTTGTCGAAATGACCAAAAAGGACATGGGTTGGTGGTGAGTTATGAAACCAGGCACGGGATTTTGTGAAATCAATAGAGGTATAATTGTCTTTTACTTGGTCACTCATGGATTTTAATCCACCAAAGGTTATTTTTGGTGGATTATAATTCAAAATAATCTACTTGCCAGACATCCAATAGTGGATTATATGTGGATTATAATTCACTATAACCATTTGCCAAACATGCCATGCTATATATGTCATCCACAGTTCCACCTATGACGAATATAATGCACCAACGATGTATCCTCAAAAAAAATTTATCATATAGACTCGTCATATGATTAAAGGATACAAGGACTTAAAAAGTTTTGCGATGTATATTCACTTACCCAAATAACAGAGAAATATTTGTCAGAAGTCTGGAGCTTTTCATTTTTTTCCTTTTTCTTTTTTCTTTCTTGAATTATGGAAAAAAAAGTTCTAAAGTTTATAACTTAATAGATGGGAGTAACTATATAAGATTTTTTTTCCTAGTATATGGTTTAAAGTTTAAACGAATAAATATCTCATAACATGTTTAAAGGGGCCTTATGAAATTTAAAACTTAAAATTCAATCAATGGAGAGCATATTTGAGAATTTCATAACTATTCATATGACTTATATTTATGTACAAGTTTCAACCCAGTGCATAACAGATGTAAATCTTCTCATATTCATCTTTACCAGGTTATATATACGTATACGTATGTACATATGCATATGTATACGTATGTATGTGTGTGTGTGTGTGTGTGTGTGTGTGTGTGTGTGTATATATATATAACAGATGTAAGCCTTCTGATATTCTCCAACACTTGATGGAGAACATTGGACCTCGACATGCAACAGTAAACCTTCTACCTCTTTGCTCAATCTCCTATAGGAATATGTAAGTCCTAACATCTCCACTGAAAAGTAAAAAAGAAGAGAGGAACTGAACGCTCACCTCTGGGAACAGATAACCAGCTTGAAGCTTTGTCATATTTGCGTTGCGAGGAACTTTGGTCGTGTAAGCTTCAGATCAACATCAATAAGTCAGTGAAATGTGATTGAAATCTACACAAAATACAAAAGAGACTATCTCCAGCAAAACAAAAAAGCAAGTAGATACTTATGATATTATTGATCCATCATGTCAAAAACAGAAATGATATTTTCCCCTCCAGTTCCTTTGACAAATGAGGTTCACAAATTGACTCTTAATTTATTATCTCAAGTTTGTTTTCAAGTTAGTGCACACTATTTTCAAATGAGCTCATCAAACTTCTAAATAACAGATAATTATGAGTATATAGAACAATTTAATATTGAACAGCTGGTACTTCCTTAACTTCTCAAAATTCTATCATAAGCTGCCGGCTATACCCTTCGATTTTAAAAAAGCAACTAAATCTCCAAAGTGATAACTAACACTTCAACAAAACACCAAAATGACCAACTTTTTCAAGACCTGATATTTTAATTCGAAAAATCCAAAGCCATGCTACAAGCCTTACCCAAAATCTATATACAAGAAATAAACTTGCACACAATTCCTTCTTACTCAAAATCACAATTCTCGTTAAACCACATTGACACCTTCCTACAACGTCAAAACCCCCAAAATTTCAAGTCAAAAGAAAAGTCATCATTTGTCATATCATGATTTTATGTTTGTTTTTTGGATCTAGATTTCATGTTCAAGCCTCAAGGCACTGTTTTACAAAGCCTCCGCCTAGTCCGTCTAGACGTACGCCTAGGCCTAGACGGTACCCAGGCCGCCTAACTAGCGCTTGGGCGGTACGTAGTCTGCCTACCTAGGTTTTAGGAGTGTTTAGGGGAACATTGTCTGCTTACGTGAACTGCACTCTTTAGGCCTTGGTCATATTTTTTGTGTTGTAATTTGCACGTCCTCCAACCTCCTTCAAATTCCTTTAACCTCCAAATATGAACACCTCCACTACCTCCTCTACCTCCTCTGACCTTCAGCAAAACCTCATCAACCACTACTTAAATAAAGAAATAAATTCACCTAAACATCAGTCCGACATCTAAGCTTTCTATAACATTGACATTTACTATCAATTATTATAATTAAAAAATAGTAAAAGAAAACCTCCTAAGCTCCAGGCGTCGAGTCCAACGACTAGGCCTCTTAGCACTTTCTATAGTTATTATTTTTGTTATTTAGTATTTAAGTACGCATGGTTTATTGTTGGATCTAAGATTGCTATCTTCTTCTTTTTTGCAAATTTATATGAAATTAATACATATTTTTATCAATTATTATCATTAAATAATTTAAAAAATAGGTGTACGCCTAGGCATCTGGGCGCTAGCTCAAATGCCTAGTATGCCTAGCACCTTCTGTAACGTTGCCTTAAGGGATGCGTTTTCATCAGGCATGTGGTTTTACTTGTGTATAACAATTGATTGAGGTCATGATGGTCATCTGTGACAACTTTATCATCCTTTCCCTTGTTCAAAAATCTTTCCCCTCAAAAGAGTTTAAAGGATGTTAAACAATCAGTTAGGACTATTTATTTTACTATTAGTATCTCAAATATGAATTTAGCATTGATTGTGATATGGTTGGCGTCAAGTTGACAACCAATTGTAGACTTTGTCAAATAATTTATTTGTTGCTCAATAGCCCACTTCTCTGATGGAAAAGACTTTTGGATTAATAGTTTTTTTTCCAAGTTTTAAAATTCTTTAACGACTTCCTTTTCCCCAAAAGCAGCTCCTAACTCCCTGCCACTATACTAAAACTCTGGATTTTTGGTGAGTTTCAAGGTTATATTTATTTACTCTAACATGCCCCAGCAGGATGATTAATCTTTTTAGGGTAGAAATCTAGACTCATGCAGCCATACCATTTTTTTAAAAAATCCGCGAATAACTTCACGGGCAACAAGATTCGAACCTATTGATTAATCTTTTTAAGGTAGAAATCTAGACTCATGTAGCCATACCATTTTTTCTTAAAATCTGCATATAACTTCACGGGCAACAAGATTTGAACCTAGGTTGTTGTGGCACCATGTCAAAATCCCTGCCACTACAACAAAACCCTGAAGGGTTGAGGGTTATTATTTTGTATTCTAACTTGCCCCGGCATTATGTTTAGTGCCCTTTTTATGGGCCAAAAGTGGACTCACATAGCGGCATCTTTTTCAAACGCGCTTTTGAAAATTCGTGGCTAGTTCCCTGACGCCGCTGCACCAAACCTCCAAAACTTCAAAGTTGTGGCGAGGGGGTCGAGGTTATATTCTATATCCTAATAGCCATACATAGTGCCATTCATAAACTTCACCCTATCCTTCTCATTTGCAATCCTCTTTACTCACGCATTACCTCAAACACAACTACCACACCAAGTCCTGCTCCTCTGAGGAATTTCATCAAACAACACGCAAGGAGCACCAAACACTGCAGAAAAACAGATGCAAGGAGAGAATTTACAGGTGGGTTTCTCGGTGTCCGGCGCAGCCACGCACTTGAAACTCC